TTGTTGTAATAAGAACCTTCAGGAAGTCAGTTTTGGTAATGATTGATTTGTAAAACTATTGAGGGGGGAAAAAAAGAATGAGAAAGTGGAATCTGTCCCCAAAACACTTACTTCCCTGAAGGATCATATTTGAGTACAAATTAAACATTTTGGTGGCTATGATGAAAATGAAATACAAAAGCAAGTTTATTCAAAACCCAGAAAACATAACTTTCCTTTTTTTTTAAAAACATAACTTTCTGATATTGTTTTTTCTTAATGGGATTGCAATATGAAAGCGTACTTGTGTTTATTCGAGGTTTCATTATGGCTGTGAAAAACTCTCTGATTTCTGGTTGTATGAGTTTCCTAATTGAATTCTTAAACTACTTAACTGCTCAGACACACTTTGTGCAAGCAGGAAATAATAATAAGTAACAACACCACAATGTTATCCTTTCAACCAGTATTTATTCCTTTTCTTTTGGGAATTCATTACATATATACTATGTTACTTTCCAGAACTTTGTTCTTTTGTTTTTAAAATGTGATTTGGTATTTCTGAGGAAGGAACATCATCTCCAGTGGATTTAGAAGATAAGTTTCTATAGGTTAGTGAGCACTTCTTTTAATCCTAAGAATGACAAAGCAACATTTCTGCTACCAGTAAAAGTTAGTCCATATATGATTTACTGTCAAGGATGATTTTACATAACGAGTTAGTTACTGTCTCCCAATCCTCAAGTTCTTGATCTGAATGTCAGATTTTCACTAATGTGGAAGCCAGAACAAAAATATCAAGCTTTGAGGGAAAACACTGTAAAAATTTCTTTGCCACCTAAATGATTTGTTTCTCTGATTTGTTGTAATTTTTACTGTATTATGTCTCCCTGCTGCATTCCTTTTATTGTACCAGCTATATTTTTTTCTGAATTTACTTCCTGAATATGATGAGATAAACTGGTAGTCAGTGTTGAAAGGAGAAAAGCAAGCATTGAAAATCCATATCTGTAAAAAATGTCTGGGGTTAGGCAACGCTATGAATGGGGCCTAGAGTATTTCATCATTACAGGTCAGGTTTTCCTTTTGCTTTTCCTGTTAACAGTGTTGGGAAGGAGAACTTAACACCATGTCTTATGCCCAGAATGCTGTGCTCCTTTATTCTTTGTTCTTGGAATGTTCTTAGGGAAAAAGATGAATGGTATAATGTAAGAAAGTAGGTTATCTTACTGCTCTTAAAGGTAACAGTCAATCATCACTACAGAGAAGTTTTCAGTTACATCTATGAACCTGTAGGGTATAAATGGCCTTATGATCTCTAGGTTGAAATGACTCACAGGAGGAAAGACTCTATAGAACAGGTGCATAAACAACATTTCCAATATTCTGAGCTGCTCCAAGAGAAAGAAATAACAATGGCTAAAATTTATATCTAATTTACTATATGTTTGGCACTATTTTAGGAGCTGCACATATATTAATTCACTTAATCCTCACAACAACCCCTTGAGTTATATACAATAATAATTTCCATTTTATAAGGAAATCCAGTACACAGAGATTAGGTAACTTGCCCAGTATCATGCTACAGCTTCACAAACTAGTGAGGGGTAGAACCAGCATCTACCTGCTTCAGATCTAACTGGCAGTCTGGTTCTAAAGTCAAGGCTCTTGATCACTGCCCATCGTGACTTAATGACTAGGGTAACATAACCATGAAAAGGGTAAATAATGTTTCAAAATGTATGGAAAGGAAAAAAATGTTTAAAAATAGGAACTTTGAAATCTTCCCCATTTAAGTGATATTGGAAAAGCTGGTCACAATAAGCTTTACCCATGAAAAATGTATTTAAAGGTTTGTTTATAAAAAATAATATTCTAAGCTCAATTCTTAATCCAGAAGACCGATGTTTGCATGGTACATTGTGCATAATTTAATTTTCCCAGTTGAACATCTTAACACTCTATGAACCATGAATGCATGAAATAGGAATTCCAAATGTCTTCCACATGGTGAGTGCACTTTCCAATACTTGTGCAGGAAGCTTGAGAGTAGTTTGAAATTAAACGATGACTGTTCTTAGTGACTTTTATGTATGCCAAAGGTATTAGCACTTTTCTCTGAGTGGGACTCTGAGGTGATAGATAGATGAGTCTGCTGTCTGTACTTAGGCACTTTGCTCACTTCCTGAGAGCCGTGTGCAAAGGCATGTGAATGCTCATTAAGTTTCCAACCATTCCCGGAGAGCAACAGGTGGCAATCAAAGCTTCCCTGGTATGTCATGGCTGGTTTCCTCAATGTCTTGGAAATAACGGATGGCATTTGCATGCTCTCTGGAGTACCAGCAGATAAGGAGATGAATAGCAACAGGAAGTACTTCCAAAGGGTAAACAAAAACACAGGTCTAGGAAGGTTACGACTAATGCTCTCGCTCCCACGCATTCTAAATCCATATATGATGGTTTCATCTTCTAAATATTATTACTCATTAACTGTGAAATCAAGGTTAACTGTCCTTGGTTAGCTACCTAGTAGAAGCAAGACATATGAAAGGAATAAAGAATATCCCAAGTTAATGAAGCTATATCATAAATTTATAAACTTTTAACTCTACATTTAAAAATATCCAATGACTACTACTGACTATGATGTGTTTTTAAATTGTCTCCTTTACAAAGTTATTCATTTATATTGAGCACGTACTACACTATAAGGCAAGCATATCACTCACATTCTGAACAAGAGAAGATAGAGCTATTAATCCAAAAATAGAACCGGTGATTTAAATTGAATACTGGCAAGTTACCCAACAGCCAACAGTTACCCACTTGATAATTACCTAGAAAAGTATCTCTAGTGAATGATAGAAAGGTTTTTGTCAATCAATAGCTTCTTTTCACCATAGTCACCAGTCAGCTTAGAAAAACAATAGAAAATGTCAGCTATAAGATTTCAACAAAATTTGTCTGGCAACTTTCCATGACCCTAGGAATAAAAACATTAACTAGAGGTGGCAGATCACCATCTTTCCCAATTTGAAAAAGCTAAAAACCTTTGGACTGGTCCACTGATGACTAGGGAAATGCACTGGTATATTTTTCATGATGGAGGACAGAAATCAAAGGTAATGAGAAAAAAATAGTAGCTTTGTTTGTTTGTTTTGGAGGAAAAACCCAATACCTTCACCCTTATGTACTCTCTCTCAACAAGAAAGCTCATGCTCAGGAGAAAGGACAGCAGGATTTCCACACAGCACTGAGATTCCTGGCACGTGACTGATGGTGGCAGAGCCCAGCTGACCTACAAGCAAGTACTGCAGGAAATCCTGTCCTGGTCTTTCCAAATACTCCTCCTTTTAAATATACCCCTCCCTCTCTTATTTAAAATGCTATCAGGCTTTTTTAAATTAGTGCTGAATACAATTTTCTTAAATTTGTTTAAAAAAATCTATGATTTTCCAAATATTAGTAAAAAGTTTTTTTGTTTTTGTTTTTTTAATGTGTGGGATTCCTAAAGATGTGTAATGTGGTATTACTAATCCCATATTTACAGTATGAGATCACATACAATTTATTAAGTTATTTTTGCTAAATATCAAAAGATAAGGAAATTATTTCAACTCTTTAGTAAACTATTGTCATAGAGTGTTCTTATCAATGGAGAAGACAAAAGACTAAAATATACATTAAAAGGACCTATCCAAACATCTATGATACTAATCTGGAAACATCAAACAAAAAGCAGAACCAAAATTTCTGAGTGCCAACTTGGAATTCATAGCTTTCATATCTGCTAATGATAACAAATATCCTCATAAAATACTACATATTATATCATATGATGTCTGGGAACTCAGTAATTTATTTATTCTAAAATCATATGATGCATGTAAGACATTTCAAATACAATCTTCATAAAGCAGTATATACAACTCTTTTACTGAAATTAGGAACTTTAATTTTAGAATCATCTAAAGCACTCCTGAGATTAATTTAAAATCCTATAAGATAAGAACAATATAAAGAAAAATCTACTTGCATTCTGTTATCATATCAAACAGTTAGAATTTTAAAAGAACCTTAAAATAAGAAGCTGATTTTAAGGGAGTGACTACTTTTAAGCCTTGTCAGTTGCCACATGAAAAATTTTAAACAAAAAACCCATTTCTTAACATCTTTAGATGATGTAAAAATGTGTAAAACAATGTTTTCAAACTAAGCAGTTATTTAAAAAGACACATACAAATTTTATGGGAATAGTATGTGGGTCAATAAAACTTAGTAATATGATTTGCAGTTTGCAGTGAGAACTATTGACAGGAAGTGGAAGAACAGAACACTTTGGAGGGATTAATATAATGGGTGAATCACAAAAACAGCTGCCTGGATGTTAGATTTATAGGGATGTTAAGACTCTAATTCTGGTCAAAATCTGATAGGATTTTAAGAGTAAAATTTAAATGTGAAGGGAGACATTCTAGACTTGAAAGAACTCCTATGACTTCAAATGAAATGATTTTTACATTTATTTAAGGGGCATAGTAGGTTATAAGTGGAACATATAGCCAAATAGCCACGACAAACTCAGAAATACCTGTGCTTCATTTTCTTTTTTAATTGAAGTATAGTTGATTTACAATGTTGTCTTAGTTTCAGGTATACAGCAAAGTGATTCAGTTAATATATATATAAAATAAAATATTGAGTATTGCTTCCTGTGTTACATAGTAGGATTTGTTGGTTATCCGTGTACATGCAGTAGTGTGTGTCTATTAATCCCAAACTCCTAATCTATCCCCTCTTCGTTTTCCCCTTTGGTAACTATAAATTTGTTTTCTGTCTGTAATTCTATTTCTGCTACTTGTGTTTTGTTTTTAACTAAAAAATTTTATTGGTTGAAATGGCTGGTGAGTATTTAAAGAACAGCAGTATACTTTTAGCTTTCATTTTTTTTTTTTTTTCATTTTTGTGACTCCCGCAATTACATTTCTACGAAGCCAAGACTGTCAGTGCGTATTTACCTTTATCCCCGGAAGTCCAGGAAGCCCAGGAAGCCCTGGTTCACCCTACATAGATAGGAAAATCACACAGCATTATAGAACAGTATTCACTCAAGCATAGTATCTGAGAAAAACATGGCAAATGCTCCCAGTCGAATTCTTGCCATAGGTATACACATATATATATGTCTAATATATATACTGTCTAGCTTCAAGACATTTGGTGAGATTATACAGTTCAGTCAACTCTTGATTCAGGGATGGGTTGACCCTTATGCAGGTTTTTCAGGAGTTTCCCTTTCCCTGTCAGTTCCTTGCTCATTGTCATTGCTACCAGAAGGTGAGAGAGAGAAAAGGAGAAGGAACCCCTATGGTTTATTGCTGTCTGGTAAATGACTTGCTGCGGAAGCTGAGGCCATCAGCTGAAGTGAGGATCACTTGCATTTGAACAATGCACCCTACTCCAGAGGTCTCTTACCTCAGATAATCAAGAGTTGGCTGTATGAACACATGGTCACATCAAAACAATACACATGAAAAGTCTTCCTCACTTAAAAGTATAACAGAATTTCTTTTCCATTCCTGAATGATAAGAAGATAGATGATGCATGGTTAGGATTATCCTGAACTCCAGCCCATGTAGCTGACAATTGTTGAGTCGGGGTGGTCCTGCTTAGTCACCGGGAGCTAATAGTTCCATGCAGCTGTTTCTGAATACAGGTTTGAGATTAAGCGGTGCATTTTGGGTGAGCATACTGGAGTCAAGCTAAATCTCCTGATTTTCACACGACTGTCTACATTATTTTAAGCACAAAGTATAGCGACAGGAAGTTCTATTGCTTAGAAAATCTCCTGAATTCCACTAAAAAAGCATAACAAAATTGCTAGAGAAAATGAAAGCCCATCCCGTATTGGGCTGAGGTGACCAAATATTGTGGAAATAACATTTGAAGGTAAAAGGGTCACACTGTTTCAGGATTGCAAGCCAGTGCTATGACAGCTATACCAAAAGAGACAGAAGCATCCAACTCCTACTTTAAATGCTTGAACAATCCTTATTCCAAGGAAAGTCTACTAATAGCAACCAGACATTTAATCTTGAATATTATTACCTTCAAACAATGGAGAACTATAATTTGCTCTGGTACGATCACAAAATGACTTCAGATACTGTTTATATGAAGCTGTGTGGTTAGACACAGAAAGAACAATGATTTTCTTAAGTTTAGGTCAAAGGTGCTTCAGGAATGCAAAAGAAAAGCTATTCTTTTTGAAACTACATGAATGAAAGTTTGCCTTGTGAACAAAAGAGTAAGAAGAGATTGAGCCAGAGAAGAAAGAATAATTATTAAGAATTTGACATTCCATTCAAAGAATACTTAGGCAAGTAGATTAAACTTTACACAGATACAACATTATACCTTTGATTTTCTTTTTTTTTCCCTTTTCCCCCTCAATAAATAGCTTTAGAAAGATCTAGTAAAATGATCTTATCCATATTTCACTGAAGATTCTCTTTTACGAAAAAAAGGATAAGACCCTTGAAAATACAGTGAGCTGAAGTATAATAAGCAACCAATAAAAGTAAGCATATTGCTGACAAGTCGATAGTTTTGTTTTGTTTTAGAAAAGCCCTGCCCCCAAACTCAAGACATCCTATTTAAGACCTGTGGAAACATATGGGTTGTAACACTGTTTCTCGAAAGGCTTTCTTACTAAACTCTTCCCTCCCACCAAAATAAAAAGATCAATGACTAAAGTGAGATATTTACATACACATGCATACATAGACACACACCCATGTTTCTCACAATGAGAAAGATGTATAAGACATTATGGAATATTTTATAATATAGATTGAATACTTACAGAGTTTGAGTATTTAGCTGTTCCTTTCATCATATGCATATGTATGTAGGTATACAGGTTATAAATGTACTATTTAATGAACAAATATTTCAGTAATTCATATTTCATAGTCTTGGATTTTTATAAATTTGATCTTTCCAAATTTGTGTTTACTTAAAAGTTCACATTATAAAATATAAAACATTTAATTTGACCCTCGAGAAACATCTCAACACTTTTAGGAAGATGTTTCTTCTTATATAAATTCTCTATCTTTATACCATGAAGGTTTATCTTTTAATTAAGAGACAGTTTTTCAGTTAATGTCTCCATTCTTGCCTATTTCTTAACTAAGAGCTTCTCTGAGCTGAGTTCTTGGGCATGTACAGCCCAAAGTCAGGTCTGGGTTCATAACTAAGAATTGGTTTGTTATTCCACTCAAAGACTACTTGTCCAAGTAGATTATACTTTATACTGATATATTATACTTCTGGTTTTCTTTTTCTCTCCCTTTCATTCTTTATTCTCCATTATTGGAGACCTAGTCTACTGTTAAAGTCAGTTCTCTGCTTTCACCCCATGTCCCTGTCACAATGCCCAGTGTTTTCAGATATACTTCTACTGTGCTGGTCCCTTTCAACAGAGCAACAAGCATTTTCACTCCTTTAAAACTAAAAAAATGTATATTTCAAAAAAATGTGGAGAAGTTAGGTAGGCAGTAGGCTCACCACCTTACCATCAATGCCATCTCATGTGGAGAAGTTAGGAAGGAAAAAAATCATAGGATGAAACACAATGCCTATTTCATAAATCTACACACTCACCTTATAAATATAATCACCCTAACTCACATATCAATCACAGACTCTCCTGTTGAGTTTATAAAAGAAAAAAACAAACAAACTGAAATCATTCCTCCATTATGAACGTTACCAAAAAACAAACTTTCATACTGCCAAATACCAGAAAGTGGAGAACTAATCAACGCACTTCAATTCTGTCAGGATATCCTCTACTTTCTGAAAACATCCCTAATGCCGAAGCTTAAATATCAAAGAACCCACAACACAGTTCTACAGTGGTGAGACAAATGTTGTTGAAGATTCCTTGAATGGCTTCTGTCCTCAGTTCTGTTTGTCATGTTCCAATCTAAGCAACCAGCAAACACGGGAACACTCTACTTTTAAATCAATGTTGGAGTAAGTATTGCCAAATCCAGATATTAAACAAAGGAAGTCATAAATATTGTGGGAAACTGACATTGCATCAAAGGGTAGAATCTAGCCTAAATATTAATGAAAAAGATACTGCTCATTTCAGGGCACATTTTCATTCAGATGAGTTGTAATATTTATTCACATATTCATTCACACACATATTCATTCAGAGATAATCTAATTCTCTCAATATAATTTAAAACAGGTTTTAAATGAAATGCAAAGAAAAGCCAATGTTTCCATAAGTAAACCTACAAACTTCCAAAAATGAATCTAAAATGTATTTTTAAGTAATTATAATAAGGCACTCTTTCATTAACTAACTGAAAATCAATTTGGATCTTCTACTCTGAAAATAGTGAAACCTATATGAAATTATAGCAAATTTGTTTTGTGTTTTAAAAAGACATACCAGTTTTGCAGATATTTCTTTTACTTTATCACAGATTTGGAGAGCAGTTTAAATTTAGCCTTCAATTTTTAAAGGCTAAGGAACTTAAAATCAGTTCATTAGAGAAAATCAAATGCTGTCTCACACCAAAACAAGTCATGGATCTCTGTGACATCACTAATTTCTAATTTCTTACATAAAGAATCAGTGGGAAATTTTAGGCATTGAACAGAAAAATTTGCAGCGTTCTGGGCTCTTCAGAAAAGTCTCAACTTTACCTAAAACTAGGCTTAATGAATTATTTCTCTCAGATTCTTAATTTCAAGAGAAAAATCTATTTTTAAATTAGGGAAACTTTAAAAGATGTGAAAGACCTTCTCAAAAAATACTTTAATCCTAAGTGTTTAAACAAAGCAATGATTCTCTCAATAACTTCAAGAATGTGGGAATAGTTTTTAATGTTATGTTTTAAGATTTCAAACTACTACAATGGGATTTATTCTTTCTATTTATACTAATGAGGTATATTCTATGTCTCTATTCATGTTTTTTCTCTATAACATCAGTTACTGCTAGACAAAGGCAGAGTCATGATCTTAGGAGATTTAACCTAGTGTGGAATTCACATTTACTTGTTAGCTACATCTGTTATCTAAAATCTGCACTGGGCATTAATATCCAGATGCTTAGATGATAAACTACTAACAGTTGTTTCCAGCTTCAGACTCAAATGAGAATAAACATATTCACTGCATGTCCTCTAATTTATCACTAAAGTAAAGCACAAATGATAAAAAAAATTAATGTATGTAACTACAGATTGGTTAAAGTGGTTTGGCTAGTGTCTACAACTAAAATTTAGTTCATGAACAAATCTCTTTGTACAACGTAACATTGATTGCTTAGGTAGATATTATTCACATAAAAAACTATCAGCTGGGACGTATTTGAAATGAGAGGAAGGGAATATAATCTTAAAAGAACTGTCCATCATCCCCTACTGAGACAGTTTAGTAAGTATTCATTTCTTCTTGTGAAAGATAGAAACATGCAGAGTATCTTTAAACATGCAAGATAAATTGTTGGCATTCCAACCCAGATGATCCTTGTTAGTCTTAAACAGTTCAGTACATGCAGACTTTAGTTCATAAAACTTCCTTTCACATGTACAGAATGTGTTTGTATTTTTGCTATGGTCAGCATCAACACTTTTAAAATGAAAAACAATAACACTGCATACAAAGCATGAAAACAGCATCATTTTCAATAATTGTTCTCATATTACACAGTGGATAGTAGACATGGTAAAATGGTGAATATAAAAGTACTAAAACCACACTAGAATAGGGATATTACCTTTTGCCCTGGACGACCAGATTCTCCGGGTTCTCCCTGGCCAAAGAAAACCAAAGATGGAAAAAGCAGTCTTAAAAGAACTCTCCAGAACCCTTAGACCCCTGGACACTTTCAGCCTCCCTGATGGATGACACACGCATTTCATTCACTCTATTACTTTATATATTACTCGACATAGGAACCTTTTTTTTTTTCCTGCTTTGACTATGTCTAAAGCTTACATACAAATCGACATTTCCATTAAAACCAATCAGAAAGGGAAGAGGAGTGAAAACCTCTCGTTTAGGCCTTTATTAGACTTCCAACAGATACTCCCTGTTGTGTTTGGAAGCCAATTATTGCAGGAGAATAGAAACAGAGTTAGAACCATCCAAATTGGTAAAAGAGAAGAGAAAGAAGAGACATACAAAAGTCAAATCTGTAACTCTTGGGGTACAAACACTTGCAAGCATATAGTTACCTTAATTCCTGCAGCAGATGATCCAGGGTCACCCTAAAATGAAACCCAGGAGAGATTATTCTACAAGCTGTGAGAAGAGGAAACACACAAACACACAGCCTTTATTGACAGGAGCGCCCAAGGGAAAGTGCCATGACTAATGGGTCGAACTCTGCTCCATAAGAATTTGTATCCATATGGCTGTGAAGATGTCAATAATTTCCAAGATCAACAATATACTTTCTGAAACTACTCTGAATGCAAAATACATGAGGACTACATTCCTTGAAATAAATAGAAATATATGAATATGAATCTCTTCCCTTGATAGAGTGCTACAGTTATATTCTAAAGCAACACATTAGCCGATCTGGAATTTTCGTTTTCTCCATTTCTGGAATTTATTAATGTCACGGGCTATCATTTGCTAGGAGTTCCCTAACTCTTTCGGTCTTTAGAAAGTCAGGGTTCAACAGATGAAGTCAAAGGGTTAATGATGTTGAGCTGGAAAAAGCCACGTAGCTGCTCAGTGTGCTTCCCTCGTGAAGCACACCACAGTTAGGACCAGCACGTTTTTTCTAGCCCTACACTCATTTCATTGTGACACGGTCCCCGGAAAGTTACAGGATGATGGATGACTTGTGGGTGACAGGGACACAGAAGATCTGAGAGAAAATCTTGAGATAGAATCTGGTTTCCTAAAAGGCATTGTATTCCATCTGGATTTCATGGAGGGTGGCTACATTCCTAAGGCAAATCTGCTCTCCATGGGCAGATTGACACCACTGGGAGAGAGTTCAGGGGGTGCTTGGGAGGTTGCTTATTTCTGAGGTGATGCCAGGCAAAGGCTTAAGATTTCCAAGCTCCTCCTGAACACGCTACAAGGACAACAAAAGGGAGAAAATGTAGATGATGACTGTCAAGAAAACAGAAACAGCCACAAGGAGAAAGACACCTACTGGGGTCTCCTCGGCTGTTCTCTATGTTCAAGTGCTCACAGAATCCAGGGTCTACCTCCTGGTTCTAGAGCTGCGCATCCATCCCTTCTAGAGAAGAGGTAAACGTCAGGCCTCCGGACATGAGGCACCTGCTCCCTCCCTCACCCGCTGTCTTCTTTTCCCACGGCTGGCAGCTTGCCTGTTCAGGTCTTAAGTGACTTCACCTCAACTCCTCACCGACCAACCTAGACACCCGCCCCTCATATGCACATCTCACTCCGCAGCATCTCAGAATGTCCTGCACGCTCACTGCCTATAGATTATGCATGTATGTTTTCTGCCGAGTCTTTCTTTGTCCCTCCATTAGATGATCAGCCACATGTGGGCAGGCTCAGTACCTATTTTTATTCAGTGTCTAAATAAAGTACACTGGATACATATAGAGTGAATGAATGAACACATCTCAGAAAGAATGTTTTCCAGCAGGTCAATAGTCAGGAATCAAAATGGAAAACACAAAAACCTTGAGGAAGAAAGAAAAGAGCTTAGGAAGGAGAAGGAAATAATAAATTAGCTTATTTGAGGAAATATATGAGTTTCTTTGACATTTGTAGTTCCTATTACTCAAGGAAAAATTAAAACATGACAAAACATAGAGAAGAGGAGCCCAAACACTGTCTTACTGTAAAATGATACTGGTGTCTTTTCCCCAACATTAACACTGAATTGAGCTCTGAATGGGAGGTGAAATAAATGTGGTTAATAAAACAGTACTTATTTCTATTTCTACTAAAACAAAATCTGAGAGCCATCAACACCAGTGAGTCAGGGCCATAATAGTTTGCACAATAAGACCTTTGCAGTCATAAAAGCAAGTTTGACTTTCTTAAGTCCCTTTTTTTGTCTCATTTCTACCTCACAACACTCCCAAGAGATAGGACAGATATTACCAGTCTCGATAGATGAGGATATTGAAGCAACTTGAGGCTAAGTGAATTCTGGACTTCTTAAATGCTATTGCCATGTGCTTTTTTTTTATTAGAATAAGAGAAGAATTACTGGTTTATCTCATTTTGACAACAAGGCATAATGGTTGTAGTAAACTTGTAAATAAAAGGAAGTTGTTTGTATTAACTGTAGATAAAAACTTTTTCATTCCAATGTTTTAATAGAAAGTGAAAGTGAAAGCCCCTCAGCTGTGTCCGACTCTTTGCGACTCCATGGACTATATAGTCCATAGAATTTTCCAGGCCAGAACACTGGAGTGGGCAGCCTTTCCCTTCTCCAGGGGATCTTCCCAACCCAGGGATGGAACCCAGGTCTCCAGCATTGAAGGCAGAACGTGACTGGATAATCCACTAATGAGAATAAGGGCTAGATTTAGTTCTCAGAGAAAGAGAATGTGAAGAAAAGGTCAGTTTCCTGGAAGGCTGATTTATTTATGGACATTGGAGTAGTTTTGTTTGATGGACAACTATAAGTGATATTTCAATTTTCTTTTCAAAAATTAGCACTGTGAAATCTCAAGGAGTTTTTATAACTTTTAGAAAGTGGCAAGGCAACTGCTGGAAGACATTTCTAAGTTAAATGCTTTAAAGGATGATGCTGTAAGTAGTGAAAATAAAACAGTGTTTATAATCCTCTTTCCCTAAAAGTAAAAATGAACATGGGATTAAAGTAGGAAAAACACCCAACTGTGTCTCTCTAAGTATACTCTTAGCTTCATAAATCCGTTGGTTTTGAAATGAAAGGGTAAATCTACACAGTAAATCATAAAACAAAATATACTTTTAGAAGATACTTGAGGTAAATGAATTTGATTTTGCTATTGATCATTACAAGACCCTGATGGAAAAGACCTTGATGCTGGAAAAGATTGAAGGCAAAAGGAAAAGGGGCTGGAAGAGGATGAGATGGCTAGATAGCATCACTGTCTCAGTGGACATGAATCTGAGCAAACTCGGGAGACAGGGGAGCCTGGCGTGTTACAGTCCATGGAGTCACAGGTGGACACTACCTAGGGACTGAAGAACAACAAATCAATCATTCAAGTATAGAAAGTTTCTGTTTTGGGTTGTGATTATTTTTAAACACAACATTTGATATGTAGATAAATGAAGTGAATGTGGGGACATTTCTGTCACTCATTAATTCATTCAATAAGTATTTATGGAGCACTGGTTTTGTGCCAGCCATATTCTAGATACAGGGATACTAGGAGAGAGGGAGACAATGTTTCAAACCCTGTCCTTGTTCTGTGCTTACAATACAGTTGCCCCTCCACATCCCTGGGTTCTGCATCTGTGGATTCACCCAATCTCAGATCAAAAATATTTTGGGAAAAAAAAATTATGGGAAATTCCATAAAGCAAAACTTGAATTCCTGGATCCCTGGCAACTATTTACATAGTTTCAGGTATTATAAGTGATCTAGAGATGCTTTTTACAACACAGTTGACCTTTGAACAACGAGTTTAAATTGCAAAGGTCCATTTGTATGTGGATTTTTTTTTTCAAAAACATCTACAGTAAATATTGTAGTACCACATGATCTGCAGTTGGTTGAATTTGGCAGATGAAGAACCACAATATGGAGGAATGGGGATATGAAGGAACCACATAGAAGGAGGGCCTTTTATAAATTATATCCTAATTTTCAAACGTGGCAGTCTCAGTACCCCTAAGGCCCACATTGTTAAAGGGTCAACTGAATATGGGAGGAAGTTCATTGATTATAGGAAAATTCTACCCCACTTTATATAAGGGACATCCTAGGATTTTGATATCTTTGAGGATCCTGGAATCAATCTCCTGGGATACCGATGGACTGTGGTAATCACTGGTATATATATACAGAACCTGCCTGCCAATGCAGGAGACCCAGGAGATGCAGGTTTGATCCCTATTTGGAAGATCCCCTGGCGGAGGGCATACCACCCCACTTCAGTATTCTTGCCTGGAGAATCCCATGGACAGAAGAGTCTGGTGGGCTACAGTCCATAGGGTTGTAAACAGTCAGAGATGACTGAAGTGACTTAAATGCACCAACATTTACTTTCAAGTGTGGGAATAAAAGATAAGAAATCCATCTCTACGTTAGTCAGTGAGGTTAACACTCCAAGAGCAGAACCTAACCTTCCCACAGTAACTCCATGTATGATTAAAATCAGTCATTGGCAGGTCATTCTTAAGTCCAGAGTGCATCGTAGCTGCTGGCCACAGAGAAAACCCAGTCCAGAGGGTTTTAACAGTCCCACAGCATTTCCAGATGACCAGTCTGGAAAGGTTTAGATTGCTTTACCATCCAAAGGCACAGAGTTGGATCAAAGGGAAAAAAAATCCTATTAAAGTGAATCAGCCGATGACGTAATTTACTGCATTAATGGCAGAAAAGAAGCATTTTTTTATTTTACATCTCAAACTTGGTAAATGATGAATGAGCTTCACATACTGAACCCAAAGGCTGTGAGAAGAGTGTTTCTAACATGCTGGAAACAAATTATATGACAGAAGCAGGAAATGTTTAAAAAACACATCAAAAATTACATTCCAATTACAGCATTCTTGGGAATGAATGCTACAGGTCAGATTACATATTATATGCTACATATTCCTATTTACAACCCTCTGTTTAGACTCATTGAAAGTTTATAGAAATGATTTCCATTTTAACTGAAGCATTTCTTATACCTAATTTCAGTTGACTAATAAAACTTTTTGATAAAAAAGAAAAATAACCAATCTAGTTGATTTCCATTTCCATGTGGTAAGAAAGCTAACATTTATTGAGAGTTTACTATGTATGAGTCAGTATGGTAAATGATTTGCATTAACATAAAAAATAAGAACAGGATTCTTTTGAGATGAATTTAGCCTTTACAAAGTAAAAAAGTTGCTTTAGTATTACAATGTTAAATTTTAAAAATGTGTGATTAAAGAAATAATTATTGGCCTACATTCAAAATATGAAGCTCTAAAAATACATCTTCTAAAGCTTAAACCTCTCTACATATATCCACATAGGCATAGCTCAGACTTGGCATAGATTGTTTTCACTTGAAGAAACTGCTTTCTGTTTAGAAGATTTCCTTTCTTTAAGCAGAGGTTGGCAACTATGGCCTGAGGGCCAAATGCAGCTGGCCACCTGTTTTTGTGTGGCTCAAGAGCTAAGAATGGTTTTTGCATTTTTAATGGTTAAAAAAAGTCAAAAGAATAATTTTTTGTGACATGTGAAAAGCACATGAAATTAAAATTTCAGTGTCCAGAAATAAAGTTTTATTGGAACAGAGCCACTCTCATCAGTATACATGTTGTCTACAATTGCTCTCATGCCATGATGAGAGAGTTGAGTAGTTGTAACAGACACCATATGGCCCACAAAAACTAAAGGATTCATTTTCTGGCCCTTCACAGGGCAAGTTTGCTGACTGCTGCTTTTAAGCAAAACAAGAAAGTCAAATGTAATATCCATGTTTATATATCTGGGGTTTGAAATTTCTACTTCAAAAAGTCATAGAGGTATATCATTGACCTCATTGGTATTAAAACCTACTCATCTTGTGGTGGATTGCAGTGTGATACTTGAATCTGACAGATAATAAAATGGGTTATAGCAGTGGTTCTCAATGTGGGATAATTTCGTTCCCCAGGGGACAACTGGCAAGCTCCGGAGACAAGGTTGGTTGTCACAACTTGGGAATGCTATCGGCATCTAGTAGGAGAGGCTAGGAACGATGCTAGACATCCAACATTTACCCCATGGAGGATTATCCAGCCCTGAATGTCAGTAGTGCTGAGGTTAAGAAACCCTAGTCTGCAAGAAACTGAGAGTCTATCTTAACAACTAGACTGTGTGTGTGTTCAGTTGCGTCCGACTCTTTGCAACCCCATGGACTGTAGCCCACCAGATTCTTCTGCCCATGGAATTTCCCAGGCAAGAATATGGAGCAGGTTGCCATTTCCTACTCAAGAGGAACTTCCCAACCCAGGGATCGAACCCGTGTCTCCTGTGTCTCCTGCTTTGGCAGGCAGGTTCTTCACCACTGAGCCATCTGGTGCCAGGGAACTTCTAGACTACCCCTTGAATACAAACACAATTGCTACTCAGTGACACTATCATTAATCTATCCCTACCACCCATGCCATATTTATATTAATATTTATAAGAATAAGAAAGACAAATTTCTCTTTATTTTATGGGTATGGTTTTATGACTAACAATTATCCATCTGTACAGTAATAATTTTCAAATTAGACCCATTCTTATTCTCAACTACAAGCCTAAATGAATTGTTCTTTGTTTCATCAATTAGCCTGATTTAAATTAAATCTGACTATTCCATTTTCATCTGGGCTTTCCAGGTGGTGTTTATGGTAAAGAACCCGCCTGCCAATGCAGGAGATGCAAGAGATTTGGGTTTGATCCCTGGGTTGGGAAGATGCCTGGAGTAGGAAATGGCAACCTGCTCTAGTATTTTTGCCTGGGAAATCCCATGGACAGAGGAGCATGGTCAGCTACAGTTCTTGAGGTCACAGAGTCAGACACGACAGAGCGACTGAGCACACATGTTCCACAATTCTTAACATATACCACAAATGAAGTGAAAATTTCCTTTCTATGTCAGAGATGTCTGTGAAGTAAGAAGCCAAGCAAAAGCTGTGATGGTCTGGGGAAAAAAACCACGAGGTAGGAAGATGAACCAAAGATCACTGCAATGTAAATGCCAGTAACGGTTTCAAATTTTTAAAAAAGGACAATATGAAAGTTGACAAAATATTTGGATTTAATACATTTTAAGTCAAGGCAAATTTTCAAGACTGCATTAGAGGCTCTAATCAAGGGACACTAACTTCTATCAAACTCTTACATCTCATCCCAGTCCTGCAATCTTCTGTCCTAAAACTGGGACAAATGGAATCACTTTAGAAACTCTCTTTTTACATCTCTGTGTATAAAGGGAGTGCTCCATTTACACATAAAGAGTGCAGTGTTTTTGTCTTCAGTCATATTACTAGAAACCCAACTACACATTTTCTAGAATTTTTGAAGTACCGTTTTACTTTTAAAATATTTAAATTTGTAGCTAGGAAGTTGTAGAATAATCACCTCTTATCAATTAAATATTTAAATGCTTTCTAATCTCGTAAAATTATCTCTGATCTTGTCATATTAAGCTATGATCTCTCAACTTCCTCAAAATCTCCCATTTCATGTACATGAAATAATATTCTTGCTCATATGCATGCTCTCATGTTTTTTAAAAACACTGTACCTTTTCGCCTGTGTCACCTTTGGGGCCATTCTCTCCAGCATCTCCCTAAGGGGGGAGAAAAGAAATATATGAAAACATAGTGATGATACTCAGCAATGAGCATTTTTCCTTATTTTAAGTTTCCTTTCAGAGGCACTATATATTAATAGCTGTTCTAAATGTTCAACAAAGCTAATATACCTTACTTGACCAACTGCCTGATATCAACCCGTCCAAATAAACATTAGTACAATGAAGATGACTGAATAGTTTTAAACTACCCCATGATATTAACAGAAAGTAATTTCTCTGACTTTTAATAGCGTATTCTGGCACTTAGAGCTGCTTTAACCCTTTCTGTTTTCTCTGCTCAAAGAGTCACTCTAACAAAGACTTTCTCCTGATTCCCTCCATATGCTTTCTGCTTTACCCCTTCTGTCTCCTTTGTTCCATTCCTGATTCCTGGACTCCTGCCCTCTCCTTTCCCTCCCATCTGTATAAATTCTGCTCTGTCTTCGAGCCCATCTCAAATCTCTAGGCTCTCAAAGTGCATGACACAGCCCTCAAAACTGTGCAGTGAATATTAACTTACCTAGGCATACATGTTTTGCACTGAGAAATAAGTGCTTTAGTAAAGTAAATAAATAAAAATTTTACTTTATTAGAAAGTCTTCAAAAATCACAGCAAAATAATCTGAGGAGTTTATGCTTCCTTTGTTAGTTTTGAGAGCTCCTATGCCTATTTTGTCACTGATATCTCCTTTCTACCCACAAAGCAATGCAGTAGAAAACAAGTCATTTGTGTATTATCCATGTTTTGTGTCCTAAATTCTGAATTTTTTAAGTCATACAGCAAGTTCTAGTGGAAACATCAGACTTAGGAGCCAGAGACCTAGCCCAGCTCTAGTACCTACTGAGCAAGCGAAAATCTATTTGCATCAAATTTCTCATGTGCAACATAAGGACAAGAATATTTTATGGGGTTATAAGAAATAATTCCTGTGTCTAAGGCAACTAGGGCCATATCTGACACAACATAAGCTGTTAATGGTGGCCATTAGCAATAACAATGCATTATTGTTCTTGTATTCCATAAGAATACCCTTCTGTCTCCCATGGGAGGTCCCGTTTCTATCATTTAACATTTTCCATAACACAAGAGAGGAGTTGTTGATAATAATTTCCCTGAGAGAAGGAGGGGTGTTAAGAGAGGGAGATTTTAACTTTTTCTCTTCAGTCTCTCTTCCTGTTTCAAATAAGCACGAGGCTAACATGCTTGGGAACTCTTTCATGGAGACGGGTACACCACAGCGCCCGGGGGTCTGAGTCACTTTATCCCATGAGCCCCTGGAACCGTGCTGACACTGTTGCTTTCCCCTCCTTACTTTCTACACAAAAGAGTCATCTGATGACTAATTAATTTCACATTAATTACCACAAACTGGTTGGATGCCAAATAAATATACTGGTCATCAGTTATGAAGGACTTTTGATAGGCAGCCAATTAGCATGCTGTAAAATATTGCTTGGAAATCCCTTTGTTAAAAAACAAAACAAATAAAACAAACTTTCTTATTAGGAAAACTGGTTCAGACTGGTCAGGAGGCAAAGGGTTTGACTGAGAAGAGCCACCCTTCTGCTTTGCTCACCTTCTGTTTAAATCAATGTCTTTTGTTTTTGTTTTACAGTGGTCAAAAATACAGTTAAATTCACAAAGCTCGCTGGATCTGTAGATGTATTTCTTTTGGGATTAGTGGTGATGATACTGATTTTTCAGAAAGGTCATATCACTTATGAAGAGCATTATGTGATATCTTGGTAACTGCCTACACAGACAACACATGTTTAAACACTGGCAAAGTATATAGCATGAGAACATTCCCCAAAGTGGGAAGAAGGATGTCTGTCTGAGAGAAATTTAACATACACACTCTGCTTCTCCTTTTGCTTCTCTTTTTAGTTTTTTATGGGAATTCTTTGTGGGACAACTTTCAGTATATTTGCTGCAGGTAAACATCTGTATCCCTTTAACCTAGTGACCTAAGAAGTAATAGAGGTATAGATGCGTAGAACAGTACTGGAATGGCATCAGCAAATAGGCAGAATGGAAATTTTGCAGGCCTAGAGGTTTTTGAAAGCCATTTTAAAGCCTGACATAGATTGTTTAAATTTGCTCATTTCTCATCCATTTCTTTAAATCCTTTTACCCAAACTTCTGAACATACATAAGAATTACACTACTTTCTCCTTCCATTAATTAGCAGTTTGAAAGAAACAGTGGCCAGTATATCTATCCACATCTATATCTAGGCATAGCTTGTTTATTGTGCTTTGCTTTATTGCACTTCAAAGACACTGCATTTTTTACAAATTGAAGATTTGTGGCAACCATGTGTCAGGCAAGACAAAAGGCACCATTTTTCTAACAGCATCACTTTCCAATTAAGATATGCATATTGTTTTTGAGTTATAATGCTATTGAACTCTTAGAGGATTACAGTATAGCATAACTTACATGCTCTGAGAAACCAAAAATTCATGTGATTCATTTTATTGCAATATACATTTTATCACAGTGATGTGGAATGCAACCTGCAATATCACCAAGATATACTTGTATACCCGTACTTATCTATCCATCTACATATAAACACAGTTTAGTTTGGTCCTTCTTGAGGGGAGGAGATTAAAAACAGGCAGAATCATCTCACCTTTAATCCTTGTTCTCCAGGTTCTCCCTGCACAAAAGAACAAAGTGAGTGATACATTAAATTATAAAACACCTAATTAAGCAACATTAAACAAAATCAAATGCTGAGCATACTAGTTAAATTACATGTGATATTTTCTATTTTGCCAATATACAGTTGCTTTCTAAAATCAAATGCTGAATTTCCTGGAAAATTGAATATGGATATCAATAGCAAATATCACCTTAATTCTTTTCTTTTGAGGACTAAAGAGAGATATTTAAGATCAGAAAAGCCTGGCTTTTAGGGCACTAAGGGGAGCAATGTTGAGGCAACTCTGAGATTATGACATCTTATTTCGACCAGACTCTAACTCAGTAAGGTGAGCTAGCATGTCCATCCGTGAAATCTTTCATTCAAAGCACCCGCTGGTGCATGGATTATTTCTGGGGTCTGGAGTGTAGTTCACCAGAATATCTTGTCCTGACATGACTAAGGCCTGAACTTGGACCCTTTCACAATGTCATGAATGCTCTTCAATCTGTTGTTAATTACTGTGTTCTAAATCAGTTGTACTTTAGGAGTCATTAGTTTTTTCAGAAAAAATACTAGATTGAGGCAGAATCTAAGTGAGTTTAGGAGAGATGTCTTTATGCAAAAATGATTATCATGGCAGTATAAAGACTAAAACGCAAAATTGTGTGCTGAAAAGAATCTCATTGTCATTTTACCCAGGAAGAGACAGGGGACAGAATCAGAGAGTAAATCGACAGCAAATCACACACATTACGGTAATACCCTTCTTAAGAAAAGCTTGAGAAGGTATTGCAATAAGGTCACACTGCTTTAAAAATTATTTTTAAGGTGGTTATTGCATTTTTAAAAAATCCTAATGTACTCTTGAAGTCAGTTTGAAGGCAGCACTCTTTTCACTCCCTTAAACTCGGCCGGACACTTTGGCTTTTTGGATTTCTGGTTACCTTTCACTGCTTAACAGCCATCCTGATGGTTGCTAGGCAACAGAAGAAGAGTACTGAGAACAAGCATTAAGCATTAGCTCCTATCATTTGACTTTTTAGCACGGAGCTAGAGAGGGAAGAAGACAGGAAAATGGCTGTAGTTCCAGAAGGAATATTTTCTTTCCTCTCCTGCAGGACAAAGGACAGGTCTATAAATTTTAGGTCTGTTCTAGACGCCTTTCGATAGCAATGTGATCTGTAAAATCAGCTGACGGGCATCTGTGGGTATGGATACACAGCAGCACAGCTGATGGGATTAGACATTAGTTCTGTACTTCAAGGGATGGTCACTCATCAAAGGATTTGGGATTTGTCTGCCTATCTGGTTTAAACTAAACTGTCACCAATCTTTTTATATTTAACAGATTCATTTGTTCTTCAGAAACAAAGGAAATTTGGAATCACCCCTCAAATCTCCATTACATTTTTTCCCTATTTAGTAATGCAGACTACATCCATTTTTAAATTTCAAACATGCTACATTATGCTTTTCATTTGATTAACTTGTTGGGTTATGTAAGTTCTAGAGGTGGCCAAATCTTGAGGAAAAGTCACAGTGGCACTGTAAACATTTTCTTTAGTACATCTTATAAAAATTATGCAAATGTTGGTAGTGTGGACATGACCTATGTTTTAATACACTCATCAAATGGTAAAATGACAACAGTCAGATTTGAAATACAGGTTTTCTCATGTTAAGTATCCCAGAAGTCAAAGTTTAGACAATCATATCCTACACTCTGTGTTTTTAATGTAATGAGAATCATGAACACCATTTATTCTTTAGTCACAACGTTTTATACTATAACATATTTTACTATTGACAAAAGATTCCATCCAAGTAAAACCAGTGGGATATAAAAAATTGTAACAGCTTAAAATCTCATGAAAAATCATGCCTCAAATGATTCTGCTTGGTTTTCTTTGTACCAACCTTTAGCCCTGGTATTCCATTCTGTCCTACTGCTCCAGGTAACCCGGGTTCACCCTCAAAATTAAAAAAAAAAAAAAAAGATACTACTAAGTAAAACACACAAAATCAACACATTATACAGACTGTTAGCAGATATAACCAACCATCCAATAATACTCGAGAGGTACATAGTATGTTAAACTAGTTATACAAGTTAGCTTGTTTGGGCCAAACTTTTATGTGCTATGGACTAGGTATACAAGAGCGCTAATTTTCTTGCGTTCAGTCTTTTCTTCACTAAGAAAGCAAAAGCAAATTACCAGGGGAAATGAATATCTAGCATGGTGCTAGGTACACCAAGTAAGTATTTGATGAATGAGTAAAAGACGTCTGAAAATTTAATAAGACTTGATGGAGAATTTTCAAGTGATTTCTCAGCTCAGGAAAACAGAGACTAAATCATTGTATTTATTAGAATTAAGGAAAGTGAGCATCTCCAAACCTAAATCTTGAAGCATACACGCATCTGCTGTTGCTGCTACTAAGCTGCGTCAGTCACGTCTGACTCTGTGCGACCCCATAGACGGCAGCCCACCAAGCTGCTCTATCCCTGGGATTCTCCAGGCAAGAACACTGGAGTGTGTTGCTGTTTCCATCTCCAATGCATGAAAGTGAAAAGTGAAAGTGAAGTCGCTCAGTCGTGTCTGACTCTTTGCGACTCCATGGACTGCAGCCCACCAGGTCCTTCTGTCCATGGGATTTTCCAGGCAAGAGTACTGGAGTGGGCTGCCATGTCCTCCTCCATACACCCATCTACTTAATTCATTTAGACATATCTGACACAAAAATAAAAATGGCTTTGATTTCTCTTCCCAGTTTCACTGTAAAGATGATAAAAATAAAATTCAGGGTTGCGGTTTTCATTGTCATATTGAGTGACAGGTATCTGAGAAAATGATAATGGCTACTAGCTAGAAAGATTACACATTTCAGAAAGATAATGAGGTATCTCAGTCTTTCGAGACTCTGAACCAACAATTGTTTTCCAAAGAGGAAAAGGAAAAATCTTTTCAAGTGTTCAGAAGCAAAGGAAAAATATTCTGTATGATGACTGCAGTTAACAATACTCTATGGTATATTTGAAAGCTGTTAAGAGAGTAGGTCTTAAAAGCTCTCATCACAAGGGAAAAAAATGTAACTATGTGAGATGATGGATGTTAACCAAACTTATTGTGGTAATCATTACACAACATATACACAACATATCAAATCATTATGGTATACACTTAAAACTAATTCAATGTCATATGTCAATTGTAACTCAATAAAACTGGGAGAAGACAGAAAGCAGTGTGGCTTTTGTTATTTCCATGAAGCTTAAACTTACAGCAACTAGAATTTCATTTAAAAACATTCCCAAGTCATTTATTACATGCTTCAACTACTGGGCAAGTTTCTTTCCACTGAGGGTTAAAAAGTTGCTCCTTAGTTGATTTTTTTTTTTTTTTAAGTTGACTATTTTTTAGAGCAGTTTTAGGTTCATAGCAAATTTAGTTGATTTTTTTAAGCTGCCTGACTTAGGACTTTCCTGATAGCTTAGTTGGTAAAGAACCCGCCTGCAATGCAGGAGACCACGGTTAAATCGGGTGGAGAGGGAGGTGGGAGGGGGGACTGGGATGGGGAGTACATGTAAATCCATGGCTAATTCATATCAATGTATAACAAAAACTACTGTAATGATGTAAAGTAATTAGCCTCCAACTAATAAAAATTAAAAAAAAAAAAAAATACCTGGGTCAGGAAGATCCCCTGGAGGAGGGATAGGCTACCCGCTCCAGTATACTTAGGCTTCCTTGTGGCTCAGCTGGTAGAGAATCTGCCTGCAATGCGGGACACCTGGCTTTGATCCCTGGGTTGGGAAGATCCCCTGGAGAAGGGAAAGGCTACCCACTTCAGTATTCTGGCCTGCAGAATTCCATGGACTGTATAGTCCATGCGGTCGCAAAGAGTCAAGACACGACTGAATGACTTTCAGGCAGCACTTCTAAGCTGCCTGAAGGGCAGAAATTGTGACATTTTAATATCTGTGCTGTTACCTTCAAAAACACATAACTTAGTAAAATGGTAACATTTTTTAAGTGCCAGGAATTTTACATTCATTAACTCACTTCAGTTCAGTTCAATTCAGTTCAGTTGCTCAGTCGTGTCTGACTCTTTGCGACCCCATGAATCACAGCACACCAGGGCTCCCTGTCCATCACCAACTCCTGGAGTTTACCCAAACTCATGTCCATCGAGTTGGTGATGCCATCCAGCCATCTCATCCTCTGCTGTCCCCTTCTCCTCCTGCCCCCAATCCCTCCCAGCATCAGGGTCTTTTCCAGTGAGTCAACTCTTCGCATGAGGTGGCCAGTGTACTGGAGTTTCAGCTTCAGCATCAGTCCTTCCAATGAACACCAGGACTGATCTCCTTTAGGATGGACTGGTTGGATCTCCTTGCAGTCCAAGGGACTCTCAAGAGTCTTCTCCAACACCACAGTTCAAAAGCATCAATTCTTCGGCGCTCAGCTTTCCTCACAGTCCAACTCTCACATTCTCACAAATTTCTATGAGATAAGTACTATCTTTATTTCTCTTTAATAGATGAAGAAACTAAGGCACAGAAAGGTAAAGTAATTTTCCCAGATTTACACAACTCTGCCTTAAGAGGTGTGCTCTTAATACAATTATGCATTGGTGAATGAATGCATCTAGAAATTGGGAGGGCTGGTGATGAATATTTCTATCCTCATTATCATTTGGTTATTAAATGACCTCCAGAATGTATACAAACCTGGACTAAATGTAACTTATTTAAAGATGATTTTGTACACCGACCAGATAAACTAGGCAATGTGAAGCTTATAGTGTCTTTCTAAAAGGGCAAAAAATGTTTTACGATTATACTGGGTTATTGTACTGTAATTGCTAAAATCTTTACTCATGGAAGAAATTCTGCTTCCTCTATAAAGTTACGCTGCAATCATTTGCATTTTCCTTGATAAAATGGCAAAAATATTGACTTAGAATAACGATGGCCATTATAAGAAAATTTTGATATGCCCTTTGTACATAACCAAGGGTAAGTATAGAAGATCCCTAGGGGAGGAGATGGCAACTTGCTTCAGTATTCTTGCCTGGAAAATTCCATGGACAGAGGAGTCTGGCAGATCACAGTCCATGGGGTCACAAAGAGTCAGACACAACTGAGTGACTGAGCACACACAAGGGTAAGAAGTCCATCGGAAATTGAATACACCCCTAAAGAGGACTCTCATTTACCATGTAACCATAAAAAGAGCTATGGAGTCTGCTTCTTCAAAGAACCTACAACAGGATGCACTAATATCATAACTCATGGTTTAATGCAAACAAGAAATGCTGCCAGGGAACAATACAAACTCTGTTTAGACTTTCAAAGAATAACTATGGTAGCCAGAATTATTATTTTTTTAAATGGTTAAGCCCCTGGAACCAGACGAAATACATGCTGAGATTTTGAAGCAAGGGAGACAAACGCTGCTTAGGTATCTGCATAACATCCTTCTTAAAATATGAACATCGAGGGACTAAAACTTGATCCTTTTTTTCCTTTGATTTTATGTTTTGTTAAAATAATCTTTTAACGTAAAAGGAAACAAAACATTGCATCCATAATCCCATCACTATATAACTGTTTTCATTTTGTCCTGTTTCCTTCTAGCCTCTTAAATTTATGCTTACATATTTCAAGCAATCGTAAGCTTATTACATAGTTTGACATGCTGATTTTTTATTATTTTATACTGCATGTTTGGTTTTACACAGTATTTGTGTCTTATAAATTGTTTATCATCTATCAAAGTCAGGTCTGATCATTTGTTTAATCTGCCCCAAACTGTTGAATACTTAACGTTGTTTCCAATTTTTGCTATTAAAGATAAATTAAACATCTATGTAAATATTTCTAAGTTGCTTTCCAAACAGGATCTGAGCTTTATCTGCTTTTCCAGCACCCGCTCTGTTACTTTTTCCCAACTTCATCAGCACTGTATGTCATAATTTTAATTACTTTTGTGGCTATTTTAATGAGTACAAATAAGAACTTCCTGAAGTTCAATTCTACATTTATCCCTTGTAAGGTTAAATAGGTATCCAGCAAGATTTTAAAGCTAACAAGTGAATAAGGCTGTTTCCTGAATGAAGCAAGGCAAGACAAAAAGAAGGAAAAGTGACTCAGCATTTTACCTTTCTAAAAAGTTATAATAAAAATACACTCAAATTCAGATTAGGAGGTTATGAAACATTCTATTATTGTTCAAATTTAGTTTCCCACGTTGTGGTAAAGTAATGTTACAGATGAAACACTGTAGAACTTTGAGTACCAAGGCCAAGCGGTGTGATTCTGGAAGTCATCAATTCATCCAGTTAACATTTAGTGAAGATTTACTACATGTTTTACTCTGAGCAGAGTGTTTCCTGGGATATAAGGATGAAATAGACATGACAGGTGCCTGTGCCCAGAGAGCTTATTTTTGAGTGAGAAAAGAGACCTCTACATAAATAACTTAAAAGGATATCTAAATGAGATGGAACTTTTTTCGAGCAAGGTTTTTCTCATAAAGAGGCACAATGAATAGAAATCAAAGGAAAGTCCTAATGAAGAATAAAGCATACATCATATAGTGTATTGGTATCTTCTAGCATATGAGGACAGAATATTACTAATCTCATGGGGTCTCCTCAAATAGTTACAGTTATATTACTTGACTGTTTTACATAATACAGAAAAAAAAGGACATATACAGAGAAATCGATCAGAAAAGTATAGACCAAATAAATAGAAATTAGGTTTTATGTGTATGTGTGTGTGTGTGCATGTGGAGAAATATGTTCATGTTTATTGGATAATCTATTCATCTGTTTCTGAATGCATCTCATATTCACAAGTACTAAGGACATTATAAAGATAGTAATAAACAAAAATAGCAGCTAACATCTTAACTACAGGCAGATTGATGGATTTTTCTTTATTATACTTAAAATTCCCAGTGCAT